TACTAAGGCGTAAGCGAATGGACATGCAAAAGGAGGACGTGAGAAATAGAGTTTGCAATAACGGCAATAATGCAGGTAAATGGCAAAGACATGCGGCTTATGGTTTAACAGTAAACGCTTCTTGCCGCAGATAAACGGAATAGAGAAGTGGAACTCAAGGTGTAACTCCTTTGTGTTGAAAAGCCTCGTAAATACTGGCGCGATTATCCCCTGACGCAATTCATAATGCAGGAAAAACGATGCACGATTACACAGTCAGCTAGCCAAACCCAATCCAAAGCTTTTCGCCACAATCCTCTTTCTTTGTTTATTCTTCTCTCCTTTCCCCCTGCTTTTTCTTTCCCGTTCCTTTTTCTCTGCGCCACTACCTTTCCTGACAACGATCAGAGAAGAAAAGTGGAACAAGGAATTTTTCTCTTTTCCGAACTTCCTCCTTTTATATCTAGCGACGGGTCGGTATCTATTTGTAGCTACAACGATGTGGGCGCGGAGATTGCATGTCGCTATTAAAGGGGTTCGGGTGAAATTGATCTATAATATCGGGGTCACTATCACTGTAAGGGATTATAGGCAAATCTGCATAGCGATTGAGATAATTGAAATTGCAATTACACAAATAGCAATTATGCAAATCATATTGCAAATGTTGTCGCTTTAAGTTTCGGGAAATCGCTAATTTCAGCAAAGCCGAAATATCCCTTCGAGAATATACGTATTGACGCATATGCATATATTTATCTGTGTATCGTAAAATCGCACATCTAAGTAAGAAACTGAAGTTCATAATTTTCCCTTAAAAGTATGAAGATCTTTTGCTCCTTAAAGTCCGCAGATAACTGCTATTTGTTTTAAGTAAAAATTATGAAGCTCTGCTATACTTACAGGCACGGCTGTTTTCTACGATAAATATATTACAAGACATGAAAGTCCAAAATATTTTATCGCAATTCGCCGCTCGTACTATCGCCGTTTGTTACGCTTCCATGCCGGCCATCTTCAGCCGCTATATTTTCATCTTTGCGGAATATACGTCGCGTTAGATCCCACGACTGCGTATTATGACACTCGCATAAACGACCGGTCTTAAAGTCACAGTCCACACCAGCTGGTACTGACCTGAGACTAATACAACCTGCCATCGCGTAGAGACATTCCGCAAACATTCATATATCGTTTCGATCCGTCACGAATACTGCTATCTATGATATGACACTCAGCTGCGAAATAAATACTCGAAGTTTCCCGATATGAAGTACAAACGTGCTTCAATCTAGCGAAGAGTCTTCACAATTTTAGTTTGACTCGGTTTATACTTTATTAGTTACAAATTCTTCTTCAATATAAATAACACGATTTTCTAACTTTATGTGAAACTTGAGAGACTATGTTTAATTCTGCGTAAATTTTGAAGTATACTAACATTTCTGAAACCTTAATTAACGCGTTAGAAATACAAAATATATTTTTTTCTAACATAAAAATTAAGATAATCTAATATATGTATATAAAAAATTCTAAAACAGTCATTGTTTTATATCTATAACATAAATGAATAAAAAAACTATAAAATAGAATCATTCATACATAATGCAGTTGCAAATTCCTCAATAGCTATTTCCTTAGAGAAAGCAAAAATTAACACGTATTAAGATTTCTCTCCTATTTTATTACAGTCTCGTGGACCAACGTACTTTTACACGGAAACGCGACGTATAAGAGTCAGAGCCGCAAAATGTGCGCAGGTGCATCGGCGGTGGAGTTTACTAGCAATCTCTCGCGGAAAAGTAAAACAACCCGTCGTTCCAGTTGCAGCCGCATAACACCTCTCCCTGTATCTATTCGCCGAATGCTACATACATATGATCGTGAAGAGGATGGCGAAGGCAGACGATGCACGGCGACGCGGCGACGGGGAGGGAGAGGCGGTAGGAAACAAAAGCGAAGGGAAAACTCTGGCCATGCTGGCAGCTATACCGGCATATTTACAGAGAGAATAGAGGAGAGGAGAATACGTTTTAGTTTTGCATTTGTCGCCGAGGAGAAATAGTGCTTCGAGCGAAGAGAGTGCTCCGGTAGGTACGCGTGGGTGGATAGCGACGCCGCGCCGAAGGAAAAAGAGAAGTGAAGAAGGTGATCGTAGGTAGGTAGGTAGGTAGGTAGGTAGGTAGCAGACTGTCGGCCGGCGATGGAAAAGAGGACGACAAGAGAGATACGAGACTGCTATCTAACCGCGTCAGCGGGTGTGAGCGAGTCTCGGGCTCGAGAGCGAGGGGGATGCAGGTATAGCAACAAGGGGTGGCGGGCAAAACGACAGGGACGAAGGACGGGAGGGAGGAGAAGCAGGATCGGGTCCCATGTGCCTGTCACGGTTTTACAAGTCCATAAAAAGAGGAATTTCAGACTGAGTTAAATATTGCTGCCGCCCTCACTGAATTTCAAGCACGCACACGCGTACGACCGCCTGCCGGTTACATATATAATAGGGCATATCCACAGAGACGCGACCGCGCATCTTTTCACACGTGTAACGAGCACGTAATGGCGGGAGGAATCTTCCTGTGATATTTATTTAGCCGTCATGCGCGCTTGTTAAATTATTTCAGGTTGCCCGGTCTGCGCGCGAAAGTCGATGTCGACGGATTTCGAGATGTAGTTAGTGAATTTCACTCATCATTCGTATCGTTCACGCATTGTTGCAAATCAATTGTATCTCTCAAATACGTGAGTCCACGTCATGCTTGTCATCCCGCAAACGTAAGAGACAATATGATGTTTTTGTAAAAAGAAAAAAAAATCGAAAAATCTTTTCTAATTCGTCCAGTTTGCATCACATAATCTGCATTTATATCAACCTTCCTATGCGCACGAGCGTACAGAGATCGTGGGAAGAAAGTAGTTATGACGGGTTTCATGGTTTATGGCTGATTCTCTGGGGATCCCAGACACAGGAAGCAAAAGAGATTATCACAAGGGACGTACGCTTAATCCCGAACTACCGCTGTACCGGACAGCCTTACGCGTAGAAGTTATTCTAGAAATACATGGAACTGTATTACACCAAGTCCCATTTCACTGAATATCCTATGCTTTATCTACGTACACAAACGTTGAAATAATAAATTATACATGATTACGACAAAATTATAACTGTGCACTTAAAAATCCGCGATGAAACTTGTAAGAAAATATGTCGCGGTACTATGCTTATATACAAATAAGATTTTTATACGTATAATAATATTTTTATGTAAGATATTTTTAATTTATTTTACATTGGAATAAATAAAGTACATTATAGCACTTTTTGTCCAATCCAGAAATAAAATTGCAATTATCCTTCATTAGGATGGATAATTATTTTTCAGCATTGATTAATTTACGTTCGTTATGTATTTTTGTAAGGTAATGTTCCAGTAATACAATTTCGTTTTTCGACATAAGAAAACTGGGATGTAGACGATGAAAACTTACACTGCGAGATGCTGGGAAATTTATTTCCGACGCGTTGAATCGAATGTAAAAACTATAATAGCTTTTGTCGGATTGTGACGATTCTTGGAATTGATTTCTATCATGCATAAATATAGTAAATGTTTTTCAAGCGAATACTTTTATTTTAATTACTTAAGCATTATGTTATAACTATATTAATATTTTATAAAAAAATAATTATTTTACGTAAAAATACTGCAACACGTTGTCATGAATAGTAAAAAAAAAACAAAGCATTTTTAGTGAAGCCATTTATATTCACGCACGATTCGAATTTTTTCTACGAGAAATTGTATTACCGTACATTAACATTTCTACACAGAGGTTTTCATTGCCAATGTATATACTGGTAACAAAAGTCTCAAACATTCGTCGTCATTAAACATTCGATTAATATTTCATTCGATTAAACATACGAGTAATTATAGTTGTGTGGAATCAAAGTAAAATGATATTATTAACAATTAATAAATACATTTTTTTAAATAGAATATTAATTTAATGTCACTGGTATTGAATTATTTTATTTTAGCCGGTAAATTAATTTAATCTTTATTCTACAATAATGGGTTTTGTGAAATAATCATTAAAAGAGAACATATAATGGTTTTTTGCAGATATAGGTATAAAATGTTCCATACATCAAAATATATAAACTTTTTTTGCAAAATTAGTATTTAAATTGATATTTAAACAGAGAATGGAAATTGGAATAATAATAAAATAAAATAAACAAGCCTTTTTATAGTTTTAAAAATATAATCTGATTATTGTAATTAATATTTGTAATTTTTTTTAAACTTCCAGTCTATATACTTTATTATTAAAAAGCTGCAAGGTATACTTTTATCATAGCGTTTAAGAAATCATTGATTTGTAAAATCAATTATTATATATGTGTTTCACAAGCATTATAAAGATAATAAATTAACTATATAAATATAAGTATATACATATTTCATAAAGTATATTTTACTTACGTGTATTTTGATAGATAACATATGTTAAAAATGAATACAAAAGTATATTGCATTAATATCGCAATAATAAATAAGCGGTATAATATTCCGTTTAATTACAATTAAATAATAACAAATTTCTAGCACAAATTTTGTAAACAAGATATTATTGCTTTATTAATATTGCTAGATTTCATTAATGTTATAAATATTATATTAATGTGGAAATGTTAGATTGAACTTCTTTAACCTCTTTGTTTATGCTTTACGTATTATTGTCGATATTGTTTAATAAAATTTTCCTAACATTTTTGAACAATATTTTTACCCAACATTTTTTGCATAATATATGTCGTAATCAGCCCAAAATGCATTTTACTTTGCGACGAAACAGCTTTAAAAAATTCTCTTTTAGAGTAATTCTCTGCTCGGACCAATTAGTATGCGAGTCCAACAAGTCGAGCAAGTATAGGATCAAAGGCAAAACGCACGGTGCTAAAAATATTTTTCGTATAAAGACGAAAATCTGAAAACTGTGGGCATACTCACTGCTCGTGTCCTGTTTTGGTTGGTTACCCGGCGACGTCGCCCAGTTAACTTTCATCTCCTGAAACATTTAAAAAAGAAAGAATGCGTTTAATTCTACGTGAAGAGACACAATTTTCAGCAAGCTTAAAAAATATTGATATTATACAGGCAATCTTAAAACGCGTCAAATTGTTTTCTCCAATTACGTCAGCATATAATTTTTAACTTTTATAAAACGACTTTTATAAAACTTTTATAAAACAAAGGCAATTCTTTCTACAAAAGGTTAAACTTAATATCAACATTTGATAAGTTTTACTATAATATTCTTTAATCTAGTACAATATACAAAACGTAAAAGAATCGATATATATAAATATATATATCATAGTACAGAAAACAATATTATTTCCTACACTAATTAAGTTTGATTGAGATCATAATTGTAGAAAAAGATATTTAATTATAAAGCGGTTAGATTAATAGCTAATTTAATAATCATGTATCAGCAATAATGAATACAAATATGAATTATAAGTCGAGATTAAATAAAATTTATTGAAGCTATTATAGCTAGTCATTTCCTTACTCGTAAACTGTTTTTATAAATCCACATTCTGCGTTGCTATTGACTTTTAGAGCTACTGAAATTTCTTAGACAAACTTAGGAGAATCGATCACATTACTTCTAAATCGGATCTGCAGATTCCGGCAGCGAGGAAGTGGTTTCACTTTGGAGAAGACGTCGGGTGGCGGAAATGGGACGTGTCGGGTATCGTCGAGTCCTAACAGACGCCGTAAACTGGATTCTTTATGCATCACCGTGTACCCGCTCGTAGCGTCGCAGATATTCGATAGATAGTAAAAGTCATTTCGGTGGAATCGATCGCGGTCCAGGAAAAAAATGAAAATACGTAAAAGCGACGGAACTACGACGAGCAAGCCGCGGAATAAGTTTTGCTGTATTGAATTTCGCAACGTACGGAACGTTTGCAAAGAGCCAAGTTAGTTTAGAAGAGTAACTTAAACTATTATACGCGTATATCGCCCATTATTGATTTGATATCTTCTTTTGTCAAAAATCTCTAATAGAGAGTACGCCACGAATGATAGAAGTCTATCGATTTTATCGACAACGTATTGTTTTTTTTCCCTTTCAGACAGCGCGGATGTGCAATACCGACGTCTCTTATAAAATATAATATTGGCAATTAATAAGCCCTCTGGGAAATTCCTATATAAAAACATGTGTTGAATTCATCGACACATTTTTCTTAACAATGTACTCTTATATTTAATTTAAATATAATTTTAATCAAACTAAAATCAATTTAAAATGCATTCTTCAGCGATTTCGTTCCTTTGCAAATCCTATATTGGCAATTAATGGCGTGATAGATTTCACGAGCATGATATAAGCAGGAAATAGTAAAATGTTACGCATCAGATAGAAGCATGCGAATAATAAAAGTCACGCGCACGATACGCAGAAAATGTAGACAGGGTTAATGGAAGAATGGTGTCACCAACATGGACGACACACCAGCCGTATCAGTACGTGTTAATTCGCTACACGCAACCCGCGTAGCGTTGATATTGAATCGTTACTTTTCATTTTCTTGGCCGTCGGCATAGTCGACCCTCGGCGTCGTTCGTGCAGTCTCTGGCAGGTACGGTATTTAACTCTCTTGGATTATGAGGGTTTATGAAACTGGCGCATAGGCTGAGATAAAAAAGCGCTTTAAGACGGAGCAATTAGAAAGACGGTTATTTTAATAAAGACCGTACAACCAAACGACAACTTTCTTTTTACGTGCTTTTAATATTTTTCAAGTTGAATTATATTCAGCGAAACTCGTACCAGATTTTTTCAATGTATTTTTTTTCTTACTTTTAACTGAGATAACATAAAATATCCTGTACAAAATTGCAATGCACGAAATATATCGCATTAAAAATATATTTTAACATGAAAACGCGGATATATTGATTAATGATAAATTTATTGAGTTTCTGCCAGTAATTTTTAAAAGTGGCATTAATATTTTATTATAAAGCTGACACAATATAGTCGAATGTAAAATTAACAATTTGTGGCTATCGGCACGTAATAAAGCGAAGAAATTTTGTTGTAAAGTAAAGTAGCAAAAATTCTTTATCATATTAGATATTCGCACGTACATTTTACAATACATATGCTAAAGAAATTGATGTAAATTGGTATTCGATTTTGATAACGCTTTTGATTTAACTGTTCGTGGGATTTGCGTCTCCGCGCGGACATATTTTTCGTAATTTTACGGACCCGCATTTGTACGCCGATGCTAAATACATACCTCGAAAATCGATATAATCGAATGATAATTGAACCGAATTATAGCGAAATGCGCGAACAGAGGCAAAATATTCCGTCCCGCTTGATAAAGCATTTACGCCCACGCGGTGCTTTGTACGATTATCAGCCAGCCGCGTATCGTAAACTATTTTACAAAATATATTTGGAAGCGACATTGGGACGCCGCAACTAAACGGTAAACTAACCGTAGCAAATAGTTTGCCGGATAGTATATTGAATACTGGTGTGTGTACAGAAGTTAAATAATCTGCGTTATTGTCTATTATATAGCAATCCTGAATATAAATTATCTCTACCCGGCTGATAGCTTCGTTAGTTATGGAATGAATGACAGGAGATAGTAGTTTGCACCGTACACAGTACACAGTCAAATTCTAACAAATATAATAACAAATAATATCTGCTCTGCTATTTTAATACTTAACGTTTAATCACATTTCTCGAGATTTCTGCTAGATTAGTTGTTTCAGAAAGAAAAAAGTATAATGTGTGTAAGCGTATAAGAACAAGTGTGACAAGAACAAGTAATGTTAACGGGGGAAAACCGCAGCGCGGAAAAGTGCAAAGGATAAGGAATACGAAGCGGGGAATAAGTAAGTAAACGAGTGACTATATAAGTAAGGAAGCGAGTAAGTCTGGTAAGTAAAGTAAGTTAGGATAGGACGAACGCGCGCGAGTGCCCAAGACGGCCAGTACACGAACACGGGGCCCCGCAGTGTGTCTGCAGCAATTTGCAACTTTTAATAGTTAGCGGGTTGCGAGGTCGTCTACCGGTCCAGAGCCCGTTGTTTTATGGTTTATAGGGGAGAAAAGCAAGTTTACATGTCGTAGTTTTGAACAGTTAATGCACACGCGCCTTATGCTGAACCCTGCCTCTTGCCATATTTATATATTAAAAGGTGAAGTTTCCATCCGGTACGCCACTTTCGTATTACTCTAGGCGTATATCTAAACTTCCGTTTTGAATAAACCGATCGCGAAACGAGGTCGACCTAGTATTCTAACTGCCGCGCAAAATGACGACTATCGATACCTCGTGTCCCATCAAGCAGCCTCAAGTCTGCACTATTTTGTAAATTTACTCGTCTAAAGGTTATATTTTTAATTGATTTTTCTTAAGATATTTGTTTACACACAAATAAAAAAATAGACGCAAAGAGACGATAATGCCTTTACAAAGAGTTTTTCCAAGTTTTAATTTAATATTGAAAATTATACGATTTTAATGTTTAATAATTTAAATTAAAGATCTTTACCTAAATATCTTTACGTAACTAATATGATTTTAAAAAATGGATAAAATATATCAAATTTGATGTGCTTTTAATTTAAACAATAATAAAATGCACGAGAATGGAAGAGAAAAAATCGATAAAAGTAAAACGTGCATTAATATGATAACAAGTAGCAGTAAAATAGAATAAATTAAAATTTACATCACATTCGCTGATAATAAAATATAATTTTAATCAGCAACAAAAATCTAATAGTTAATTATTCTGTCATTTAGTCTTACTTAATTCAATTCTCACAGCAATTTTAAATAATCCTGCTGCTATATGATCCGCTAAAAAGACATTCCTGTGTTCACGAATGGAGGTGACACGAGAAAAGTCGGAATTCTTTATCGCCTTCGTACCATCGCGTAAACAAAATCGAGGAATTTTCTGACTGGCCAAGTGTGAGATCCGTTTTGCCTTTTGCAGCCTACGTAGCAAGCTATGCTAGGAAGCGACAAATCTTGCCTGCAAACTATCGAACTGTTGCACAGAATGTTGCGTACTTCGACACCGAGGGGGGAGAAAGGGAATGGATCAGGGTGACACTTTAATGCGAGGCTTAGACCGCGATAGGGGAGCGATTACATATTACAGATGTGAAGGTTGAGTTATTGCGAGCGAATATCGGCAGGAAATCGGGCAGAAATTGCAAGCTACTGCACTTTTGATCTTAGCCGGGCAGTCGCCTGCCGGTCAGATATTTATTGTCCTATTATCGTGATTGATGCGAGGTTGGCTGCCCACCGTTGGCTAGTATCTTATATAAGTACATTTAATGGGGGTAAGGCCGTTTCGGACTTTCGCATGACGAAGGGCGCTGGTCCTATATTGTCGTTTAACGTTATGGCCGATACAGCGTCCAATACCGTGTGGTGGATTTGTAACGTTTTCTTACTTATGCCTTCTTATTTTCTAGCCACATTCCGCCACATGGCGCCATTAGTCGACGCGGCACCACTAACGCTTCTCGCCTGCTGCGGTAATAAGTCACGGAAATGCTATCGTAAGAAATTTACGGAACACTCGCTTACTTCCCGCGCGTACGAGAAACACTCGCAAACGGGGTCTCCCAGTAAACCCCGTGACAATCCGTGTCGGTTCAATCGTTAATTACGCTGTAAATATCAGTACTTGGAATGCTCGAGGTATATTGACCTCGCTCGTTTCTAGGTTCGGTCTAATTGATTCTTTTTACCGTCGCGACAACATATATGACAACTATTTTGCGCGAAAAAAAACCAAGCGTCCTCTCGCAAAAGCTTAATACTTGTTATTCTTTCCGAGAAAGATAACTTTTCACAAGTTCACTCTATTCCAATCTAGAAAGTGTAATACATCTTTAGCTTTTTCTGAAATTTATAACACGGTGCTATTATTGGAAAAACTATATATCAAGTAAAATAAAGAAAAAGCAGAAAAAAATCGATATCGGACAAAAGGCGA